AAGTCTATCAAAGGCCTTCTCTGCATCTAGGGATAAGAGAATGCTGGGGGCCTTTCTTTCTTGTATCCCGTATAGTAGGTCTAGGGTTTTTCGTGTGCCGTCCGCTCCTTGTCTGCCCCCATCAAACCCCACCTGATCTTCCCCGATGATTGTGGGTATGATGGGTGCTAGTCTATTAGAAAAGATCTTGGCGATAAGCTTGATGTCCGTATTTAGCAGGGATATGGGCCGTAGATTTTGGCATCTATTCGGGACTTTCCCGGGTTTGGGGAGGGTGGCAACATGTGCCATTAACATTTCTGTCGGTATCGTCCCCGTCTGGAGAATATGATCAAATAGGTTTTTTAGGTGTGGGGCGATGATGGGTGCAAATTGTTTGTAGTATGTGTTGGTTAGTCTGTCTGGGCCTGGTGATTTCCCGGGTGGGAGGGATCGGATTGTGTCTAGTATTTCTTGCGTGCTAATTGGGTTTTGGATGGCGCTTTGTTGTGTGGACGTTAGGTTGCAGAAAATTTTCTATTTCCTGTGAGGTGGGTTGGTGGAGTGTTGGGTCTGCATTGAGGTTGTAGAGGGAGTGGTAATAGACAGCCATGTTGCCGTTAATGTCTTGTGGATTGTGAATCTTCACCCCTGAGGTGGTGAGGAGATATGGGATTTTGGAGTTAGCCTGTTTTTGCCTAAGTAGCATAGCTAGGTGTTTCCCTGCTTTGTTGCCTTGGGTATATGTCTTCAGTTTAAGTTTTGTGAGAATGTGGGTCGTTTTGGGTGGTAATATTTTTTATGGTTTCGGCGTGTGTGTCAGATGGGTTCAGGAGGTGTGCATTTGTCACATCTCGTAGTCTTCGTAGCAAGTCCGTGTGTTCCTTGATGCATTGTCTCTTGAGGAAGGATGCCCGGCTGATTAATAAGCCTCTCACGACCGCTTTGTGGGCCTGCCAGACGGAGGCAGTGGAGGCCCCAGATTCTACATTGCTGTGAAAGTAGTCTTGCATGTGTTGCGTTAGCTTTGCTTTGAATGTGGTATCATGTAGGAGTGTATCATTGAGGCGCCACGGGGGTCTGGCTCTGTGTTGGTAGAGGTCGTGTAAGGTCATAGTTACCGGTGCATGGTCTGGCCATACTATATTCCCTATGGTGCAGTCGTCTACCTGCGGAAGTAAAGAGCCCGAGACGAGGATGTGTTCGATTCTGGAATACATTTTGTGGACCTGGGAGAAAAAGGTGTACTCTCGTGTGGAAGGGTGGTTGGTCCTCCAGGCATCATACAGACCGAAGTCTTGTAAGAGTTTCTGAAATGCTATGTTGTTGGGTTTGAGCTTGAGGTGCCTAGCAGAGTTGCTAGGGGTTGTTGAGTCTACGTGGGAGTCCATGGTGTGATTGAGGTCGCCACATATGATCATGGGGGTTGTTGGGCTGGTCGGTAATTTGGTGAGGACTTTGTTTAGAAAGTTACGCTGTTGGTCATTCGGGCTGTATAGGCTTACTAGTATAAAGGGGTTGTTGTTAATTATGCAGTGCAGGATCACGTACCTGCCTTGGCTATTTTTTTTGATGTGGAGTATTTCCGCTGTCAGAGACTTGTGTAGTAGAATGGAGACCCCTCTAGATTTGGATGTGTGTGTTGCGTGGTATTGTGTGGGGTATTCCTGGGTGGCAAATGTGGGGATGCGGTTGGTGACGAAGTGCGTGTCTTGTATACAGGCTATGTCTGCTTTGGTGTGTTTCAGATCGTCTAGCAGTGTACGTCTTTTGTGTGGCGTGTTAAGGCCTTTGGTATTATGAGAGTAGATAATCATTGTTGGGCCGTTGCGTTATAATTTTTTTTGTTTGTTTTTTTCAGGCAAGCTGTCCCTGTTTCGCGATGTTTGTGTCGGTGTGTAGGGTTGGGGGGAGGAGGGATAGGTTGGGCAGGGTGGGAGTTGGGTGCTATATACAATGACCGTAGTCGGTCTGGAACTCTAGGTGTACCGTGGGGGTTAGGAGTATAACTTCCAATTGGGTGGCTATGTGGGCTCCAATTTGGATTTGTGATAAAGCAGAAATAACATTTAGAAGATAACATAACATTAAGGTACAGCACTGGCGTACATACCAGGGTCGCAGGGGTCGCGACTGCGACCGGGCCCGGCCCACCAGGGGGCCCGGCCGCCCCTGCGACCCGGTATGTACGCCCAAGGCCAGCCTCTTCCCCTTGGGGGCCCAGGAGCCGACCACCCCAGGGCCCCCCTGAGGCTGGCCCTGCTGACCCCGGGTGGCCGGTCGGGCAGGCGGGCGCGCGAGGGAGCACTCAGTGCTTCCTCTTCAGCTCCCTCGCGCGCCGCACTGATGCCGGAGCCGGAAGATGACGTCATCTTCCGGCTCCGGCATCCCTACGCGGCGCGCGAGGGAGCTGAAGAGGAAGCACTGAGTGCTCCCTCGCGCGCGCGCCCGCCTGCCTGCCCGACCGGCCACTCGCCCAGGAGCCCCACTGGACCCCAGGGAATAATCCCCCCCAGCACTCCAAGAGGTAAGGAGGCTGGGGGGATTATATAAAAAATCATGTGTGAGTGTTAGTGTGAGTGTTAGTGTGTGTGTCTGCTAGTGAGTGTTAGTGTGTGTCAGTGTTAGTGTGTGTGTCAGTGTGTGTGTCTGCTAGTGAGTGTTAGTGTGTGTGTCAGTGTGTGTGTCTGCTAGTGAGTGTGTTACTGTGTGTGTCTTACTGAGTGTGTGTTAGTGAGTCTGTTTGATGTATGTTAGTGAGTTTGTGTTTGTCAATGAGAGTGTATGTTGTGTAAGTGAGTGTGTATGTATGTCTGTCGCTGAGTGTGTCTCTGTCAGTAAATGTGTGTGTCTGTTAGCTAGTGTGTATGCGTCTGTAAGTGTGTGTGTCTTCAGCACTTACCTTTCTCCAGCGCCGACTCCCTTGGCGCTGAGGATCCCTCAGCCTCTCAGCTCCGAATGTGACCGCGCACGCATTCAAACCGCCCATAGGAAAGCATTACTCAATGCTTTCCTATGGACGTTCAGTGTGCTCCTCTAGCGGCTGTCAGTGAGACAGCCACTAGAGGCTGGATTAACCCTCAGTGAAATATAGCAGTTTCTCTGAAACTGCTATGTTTTCAGCTGCAGGGTTAAAACTAGAGGGACCAGACACCCAGACAACTTCATTGAGCTGATGTGATCTGGGTGTCTGTAGTGGTTCTTTAAAGGACCACTATAGTGCCAGGAAAACATACTCGCCTCTGGCCTGAGGTAGTGCCCTGAGGTGCCCCCACCCTCAGGGAATCCTCCGCCTCGCTCTGGAAAGGGGTAAACTTACCTTTTTCCACCGCCAAGGAGAGCTCTCCCTCCCATCCTCCTCTTTCTCCTCCTTGCCGGCTGTGGCACGCGTAAGAGCTGTGCACGCATTCAGTCGGTCACAGGAAAGCATTCACGTTTTCCATGGACGCTGAGCGTGTTCTCACCGTGGAAACCAGAGAAGCCTCTAGCGACTGTCAATGAGACAGCCACTAGAGGAAATAGGGGAAGGCTTAACCCATTCATAACATAGCAGTTTCTGAAACTGCTATGTTTATGAAAAAATGGGTTAACCCTAGCTCGACCTGGCACCCAGACCACTTCATTAAGCTGAAGTGGTCTGGGTGCCTAGAGTGGTCCTTTAAGTGTGTGTGCATCTGCATGCACTGGCGTACATACCGCGGTCGCAGGGGTCGCAGCCCTGTAACCCCTGCGACCAGGTGCCCACCGCCATGTGTTGCGGCCCGGCCCGCGCGGGGGGGGCCCACGGATCAATTTTCGCACCGGGGCCCCATGGGTCATGTGTACCCCACTGAGGTACAGTATTGCGTTAGGCATTATAACTTGTAGAGTGCGCAAGTATCAATTGTAGTGGCCCTCAAGGGCAATATCTGATTGTATGTAGCCGTCCTTGACTGTTCTCATCGTGGTGGGCATAGGCAGTCTGGGTGGTTGGGTCAGTGGCCTTGGGTCGTCGGACAGAGCCGAGGTCCTCATTTTTCCCTACCTCATGCGTGGGTTAGCCCATGAGGTTGTGTGGTCAGGCCCCACCCCCTCAAGGGGGTTTTTGTCACCGGTTGACCCCACATGGTGTGATACAGTATTTAGGTCATTGTATAAGGGCTTTGCCGGGTTAGGATCATCCCCCTAGGGAGGCGGTAGCGACCTCTGGCTCATGACCATTAGGGTTTATGTTTGCTCAGTCTCCAACCTCAGGTCATTCCCCCAGATCGTTTTATGGTCAGTCGCAGGACCTAAGTCAAGGTCTCTAAGTAGTAGTTGGTAGATACTATAGTCGTGCAGGTTATTAAAAAAATTTTTTATTTTTTTTAACCATAAACCTAATTCTGTAGCACAGTCATCGGGTAAAGTCAAAGTGTGGACATTATAGACATGGCATAGGCATACATAATCAGTTAATCACACGTTTGCATGTGGAGTTAGATACTTGTTGCATGGTGAGCGTTTAGGCGGGCAGTCTGTGTGCTGAGTCCGTCGCGGTGTTGCGACCTTGGCGTTGAGGTGCGGGAGTTGCGCCGGTTGTCGACTTGGCAAGAAAGCCCCACTTTTGAAGTGCTGTTTGGCCTTCCTCCGGCGTTGAGATGATTACTGCCTCTCCATTCCTGGTGGTGATGATTTTCGTCGGAAATCCCCATCTGTATCTGATGCCTTGGTTTCTCATCTCTGAGGTGACTTGTTGGAATTCCCTCCTGCGTCTCAATGTTGCCGTGGACAGGTCTGCCATGATGCGGACCAATGGGTAGTCATCATGCGGTCCGGGTCTGTTGCGGTGTGCTCGAAGGATCAGTTCCTTTATGTGATAGTAATGCACCCAGAGTAGTACATCACAGGGTGTTGAATCGGGTAGGTATTTTGGCTTAGCCACTCTGTGGACCCTGTCAACGAGGAGCATGTCCGCCGGGATTTCTGGGGCATAGGTATGCAGTAGGCCCCTCACGTATACTTGCAAGTCCTCTGATGAGACGTATTCTGGGACCCCTCACAGCCTTAAGTTGTTCCTGCGCATTCTGTCCTCATAGTCCGCCATTCGAGCCTCCATTTCTCCCATTTTGTTTTGCAGAGTTTGCACATGGCTTGTTAGGTCGGCTTGTGTGGACGTCAGGTCCTGGCATTGTATTTCCACTGAGGCGGTCCTGGAAGAGAGGTCTCGTACTTCTTTTTTGATCTGATCTGCCGTGGATTGCCATGTGTGGATTAGTTTTGTTGCCATTGCATCCATAGCTCTCTCAAAATGCCCTCTTGTGAGGTAATCTGAGGTCTGGGAGACTCCTGATGCTGCCGGGGGGAAGACCGCGTCCGAGTCCCCGAAGCCATCTTGTAGTGCGGCCTGTGCGGTCTCTTGTGTAGCGGCCGTTTTTTGCCCGAAGAAGCTCATTTTTTCCGCCTTCGAGGTGGATTTCTTGGATTTGGAGGTTGACATACTGTTCTTTATGGTTGGTTATATTTCTGTGGTGTTATTTGCTGTGTGTTAGGAGCCCATGTGCCGGAGCGTATTTCTATGCGGCCATCACTCTCGGCGGTTAGCCACCAAAATCTTCATTTTTCAGCCCCCAAAAAGGCCAAATAAAAACCATAATACCCATCGAACTTGTAAAAAATAAAATCAAAAACCTGAGCGCAAAAAAGAAAATCTGCCGAAAAAGAAAAAACCTGACGCGAAAAAAATTAATCCATCTTTACCCGGCGAGGGCACGGCACAGACTGAGCTCTGTAGGGCGGGGAAATGCTTATAAAGCCTTGTCCCGCCCTGCAATTAGGCTCAGAACACTCTAATGGATTGGTGGTCAAACGGACCAGTTGGATAGCACTGAGGAAGGTCCCATCTATGGCTGAAACGCGTTTGCTTCAAACTGGACATACTCTGGGACTTTTGCTGGTGGTATTTACTTGTGTTTGTATTTACCTGTATTTGCACTGCTTCTTTGCAGCGTATTATTACTTCACATAATACCTGCCATATCTTTTGTCCCTTACTATCCACATATTTTTAATTATATTTTATTTCAATAAATTTGTATTTATATTCTCATCCTTGTGAACATTGAGTTCTTCACTTTAGCATACCGAGAGCCTGGACAGGCACCCAAGGGCTGTTTACATCTTTGTGAGGGCATTCCACATATACCATGAATTTCTGTTATTTATATGTTATGAAAAGCACTATGAATGCTTTATTTGTTTTTCATATGGTACTGTATTATTAATACCTGCAATAGGTGGTATATTGGTATATTATACCCACTTTGTGTGTGTGTGATTTAATTTTTATTTACTACTTGTTTTTTAGGTGATAAGGGATTACACCTTTTTTCACACCAATTTACTAATCCTTTTTTAACATTTGAAGTGCCTACACAACTATTTGTATTATTTGCGTTGAAGCCAACCTGGAGTGTTTTAGATTACTTATCCAGATGAAGAAAGCAGATTTTAGCTGAATATTACATGGTTATTTAGACAGTAAAAGCTGATAGAGGACGTTATGAATCCTCCAGTAAGTGTTGAGTGGATCACTGGGGTCTGAAACGTCTTTAATGTTGCAATAAATATCTCCGTTTGAAGCAGCTGAGGGTTTCTGTTGCACTGATGAGCCCTATTGAATAATGTGAATACAATCTGTCAGCTGAACAGAGTCAAGTTTGGCTAAATTAAAGTGCAGCTTGGTTTGTGGAATTGCAGCTAAAAATTTCTCTATTCTCTTATCAATGGAATTAAAGGAGTTTCCTGAACACAGACAGTTTGGTAAAAGTAACTGACTCCCCAGGGCCTGAGTCAACGCACCCCCTAACAAATAAGGGTATAACATCTGTGTGTGAGGTAAGGCAACAGCTACGGATTTTAATATTTTTGAATAAACTTTTAATATTAAATACTTTTGAAAACAGTTTAATATTTTTGATATATATATACACACATACATATATATATATATATATATACATACATACACACACACACACACACTGTTAAGACACCCCTGGCACAAAGGAGTGAAACCGCCGTTTAGTTAAGCTTCCCCTTTCGCAATAATGCAAGCTCCATTCGTATATACTTCAACCGAACAGGACCCGTACGGATGCTCCAAGCTCCCGACCAATAAATTCACGAATCGCAGATAACAGCCGAACAAGTAGATCTTCCAAGCGGCTTACGGTTTCAGCAATCAGTCATTAACCATATGTAGTAAATCCCCCCAATAACGAGACCAAGCTCCGCATTGAAGGTAAAACAAGAACTGGTTTTACTGTGGGCTACACGCCCGTATTTATGCAGGTCTCCCACTTGGTGGACACTCCCCTAGGGGACCAAATGGGAGCCTATAATGACAGACAGACATATGGCACTTTAAGAGATACAGGCACAAAATATTCCCATAATGCATCCCGGTTTCCTCCTCTCTACCCTGGAGATAACTGAGAAGTAATTCAATTATCTCCCAGGACAGAGGCAAATCGCCATTTTAAGTAAAACACAAAAAACACATGAAAATAAATAATAACACAACTACCGAACATATTACATTCGTGCAATGTATCCCCAGATAGCCTGGATCTGAGTGCATATTTTTAGCGAATAGCGCTCAGATCCCATACGCACAGTTCAATCGCCATGGAGTCAAAGTCTTTTACAGTCTTTCAGTATGCGATTGACTCCATGGGAAGTCTATCTGGGTTAAGTCCATTCGTATAATCCAAACTCCCGAACGGCCGGTGTTCGCATGTCTTGTCGAATGAGAAGGGCAGTCTGTGGTTTCAGCGGTGTTCGGCAGAAAAAGTGTCAGTCTTTAGTTCCATAGAATCTGCGCTGAACACCGCTGGTCTTTCGTATGGTTTAAAAATGTCCGCCGCCTCGTGGTCGACATACAAACGACGACCACCCTGCATTCGGTTATAATTAAGAGGTGTCTGCAGTTAACCACAACGTTCTAATTGGGATCAAGAGGTTAACCAACAGCACACTTCTCTTCTCCGTCTATTCGGTAAGTTCATTCGGTAAAAAGTCAACCATACGAATATTGGTATACGGACAGGCAATTCCACGAAGGGGAGGCAAACTAGACGAACCAGCAATAATAGTTATAAAGATGGGTCTGTTACATATATATATATATATATATATATATACATACATACATATACACAATATATATCTCATGTGAAAAAAAAGATTTCAATGTTGTCAGAGCGCAGGTTGAGAATCTCTGAGCCTGTGCTCTGACTCACTAACTGAGCGCCGGAACCATGAGGGAGAGGATATAATCTGACTGCACCTACTGCTGGTGCGCATCAGTGGACCACCAGCGAAGCGTTTAAATTGAATATGCTGGTGTCCCCAACTTGTGAGCTGTGTTGCCTGCCTGGCGCCTCTGTTGTCATGGCACCCTGCGTGACCGCACAGCTTGCACACCCCAACGGCTGGCCGTGCTGACACACACTGATGTTACTACTTAGACATCCCTCACTATTAATACAGACATCAGAGTAAACACCAATAAACTGTGCAAACAGAGCTGATCCCCCCCAAATGTATAAAGATTTGCTTACTGGATTTGTTGTAAGATTAAATCATGCCTCCTCCTCTCTCTCCCATGCGCTGCTCTGTAGGCTGGGAGGAAGTGAAGAGTAATCACAATCTCCCAGCACAGCGGCACCTGTGGCTGCATGGGAAACAGCTGGTTAATGTAATGCTTGCAGGACGGCCAGCTGCCGCAGAACCTCTTTGTTCCTGTCTCTGCAAAGGGCTCCAAGCACTGCTTGCTGTGAGTGTGAGCCACTGTAAATTAGTGGCAGAGGGCACTTGCACTGTGGTAAAGACTGGTCTGGGCAGGAGGAGAGTGCAGTGCAATCAGTGCACTCCCCTCCTGTGGGTCACCAGTAGACTGGTGCACCTGCCCAGGTTCAGAGCCGGTGCAATGATTTTTGCTGCCCTAGGCAAAAGAAAAATTTGCTGCCCCCCATATGACATTACAACGCCCCACCCATATGATCTGCCATATGAACTAACGCCAGTGCTGCACACAGTGTGTGTTTACATTAAAAAGCCTGCAGGGACTCGCTATAGACACCAGAACCACTTCATTAAGCTGAAGTGGTTCTGGGGACTATAGTGTCCCTTTAATGTGAAGTAAATTATAGATCAGTGTCACTAATAATATACTAGATTGCCTACTTACAACCAGATGAGGATGATAATGGGCTGCAGTTTGGCTCCACTGGTCTGGTGTAGAACAGGATCTCTGGAGGCTGTTTGCAACTGTGGTCACAAAATTCAATGTTCTGGGAGAATTGGAAGCAGCTCCATTTTTTTGGGTGACCCGTACACAGCTCAAGGTCTGAGCCCCAGGGCCTGACGGTAAGTATGCCCATAAGGCCCACTCATAAATCCACTTATATGTTCCATCCACCCATGAGTTCGCTCACAGGGAGTGGAGTGTGTAGGGGATGTGTTATATGTTATTGTAGAGGATCTAATATGTGTGCTTATTGTATGTAGTGTTTAGGGATACCAGTTTGTGTAGGTGATGCAGTGTGTTTGTGTGTAGTGGAAGCAGTGTGCATTTGTGTATAAGGGATGTATTGTGTGTTTCTGGTTGTGTGTAAGGGATGCAGTGTGTGAATCTGTGTTTGTATGCATAAGGGATGCAAGGTGTGTGTGTCTGTATGTGTGTACATTGAGTGTGTGTAAGAGATGCATTGTGTTTCTGTGTGTATGTAAGAAAAGCAGTGTGTGTGTTTGCATGTGTGTGTAAGGGTTTGCATTGCGTGCAAAGGATGCATTGTCTTTGTATGTAAGGGGTGCATTGTGTGTGTGTGTGTGTAATGGATGCATTGTCCGTTTCTCTGTGTTTTCTCTAAGGGAAGCATGTTGTGTTTCTGTGTGTGTAGGGATGCATTGTGTGTTTCTGTGTATGTATAGGGATGCATTGTGTGTGCGTAGTGTGAAAGAGCTCCTTGTCTTGCCTCCTGTCCCTTAGAGCTCTCCCCCACCCTCCCCTAGCGGTCTCTTCTCACACTCACCCACCCTCCCTGTGCTCTTCTCATCCCCCCCTCCACCCTCCCTGTGTTCTTCTCACTCACCTCCCAATGTTCTTCTCACCTCACCCCACCTGTTTTCTTCTCTCTCCTTCTCCTCACCCCCCTCCCTGTGTTCTTCTTACCCCCTCTCCTCCCTGTGTTCTCCTCACCACCCACCCTCCCTGTGTTCTTCTCAGTCCTCCCCCATTCTCCTAATCTCCCCTACTCTTCACCCTTACTCTCCCCCCTCCTCTCTGTGTTCTTCTTACCCCCCCTCACCACCCCTCCCTGTAGCATGGCCGAGCTCCTCTCCGGTCCGCGGGGGCCCTGCCGGAGTAATAGGAAGGTGCACACCGAGTGTGCACTTCCTGTCAGTCCGGCTGGTGACAGGAAACAGAAACTCCGC